GTGACATTGGTACTGTGTGCTGTGGGCCTTCCACACTTAGTCAGGGAAATTCAGCCAGACAAGTTTTAATTGTGTTTTACTGTGTTCAAATAATCAACTTTGTAAAATAAATATTATTTAGTTATAAAAAAAATATTTATTTATTAAAATATTTTACAATTTAGATGTTTTCCACGTAGCTTATTTTGGTGAGATACTGTGTTAGCTTCCTATCACTATAACTAACTCTCTGAGATTATCATTTTCTTAGGAGGAAAGGTTCATTTTGAGTGCTTGGCTTTATGACTTCTTAGTCTGTGGTCTTTGGCCATGTTGCTTTGAGTCGATGGCAGCACACGACACTGTGTGGGGAATGTGAGGTAGAGAAGGTCCACTCATCTCATTGCCATGAAAGAAGAAATGGGGGATGAAGAGGAGGAAGAGGAACACACAGAGAGAGGAAGGGGGAGCCACACCCCACCATGACCTAACGTCCTTCCTGTCATCTCTAAAAGGTTTTATTTCCTTGCCATGGCACCAAAGAAAAACAACCAAGCCTGTAGTAATTGAACCTTTGGATGAAATTTAGGATGGATCCCACAAAGGATAAATATCAGGTTTTAGTTTTTGGAAATTGCTTTGGGTTTGGAAAAAAGACAACAGACTGATGGGAAGGCATTTGACTTAGCCAATGGTTGAAAGGACCATGAACAACGTACCACACTGAGGAGTTATATATGAATCAAACTCAACTCACTCTGCTCTACTGAAACACCAGACGTAAAGCTACATGTGTAAGAATAAAGATATTATATCAGAGGAACTGTACATGGCAGGGGTTAGGGAATAGAGGATTAGGGGTAAAGGGGGATGATCAATGGCAAGGAATGGAAGAAGGAGAAGAGAAGTGAGAAGAAGGAGAGTCTAGGGACCCTAATAAAACATTGAGAAGTCAGAAATGACTTGATGAAGTGGTGTGTGTGTGTGTCTGTGTGTGTGTGTGTCTGTGTGTTATATCTGTATGCCCGTGTGTGTAAGATATGGATGTGTTTCTGTGTGTATTTCAAGGACAGAGACCTGTGGCATGATGTGTGTCATTTAGTTTAAATGTAGACTGCTTCCTAATTTCTCATAACCAGGAGAGAGGTGCATTTTGTATAAAAAACTGCCAGTGGGGAGCAGACTGTAGCACATGGGCCAGGAAATCCAGAGGCCTGGATGGGGGTCTCCCAATTCAGCCTCTTTCAGGCCACATGACCTTAAGCAAGGTTCTGTACCATGTTGTAACCATGAGGACCATGGGCAGACAAGTAGCGAGGCAGCTCACACAGATTTGAGAACAAAATTGCCTGTTTTCCCTTCTGTTTCCACAGATTCAGACTTTTGTTTAAATAATTATTTATTTATTTTATGTATATGAGTGCAATGTAGCTGTCTTCAGACACACCAGAAGAGGACATTGAATCCCATTACAGATGGTCATGAGCCACCATGTGGTTGCTGGGAATTGGACTCAGGACTTCTGGAAGAACAGTCAGTGCTCTTAACTGCTGAGCTATCTCTCTAGCCCCAGACTTTATATTTTAATCAGAGTTTTGTTTTGTTTGTTTGTTTGATATGATTTGCTTTGCTTTGTTTGTTTTTAAGACAAGGTCTCATGTAGCCAAGGATGACCTTGAAGTCACCACTGTGGCCAAGAATGGCCTGGAACTTTCTGTCTCTTCTTTCCAAGTACTGGGATTATAGGTGTCCATCATCATGTGTCATTATAATGCTGAGATCAAACTTAGGGTTTCACTGACTGCCAACTGAGCTAGGGCCCCAGCCCCTCTCCTATTGGTTTTAACCCTTCACCCACTATCTCTTTACTTCCTCACCTTTACTCATCAGCTTCTAGCAACTTCCTAGTGCTGTATCTTCCTTGAATAGGCTGTTAGACCTGGTAGAACACAAGTGTCTGGTCCTGTGCTGTAGATCCTTGTTAGCCCATTAAGGGAGTGAGCCCCAAAGGCTACTGTTTACTTGTCTGTAATCTCTCAAGCCTTTATAGAGTCAGGATTGACACTGTTTAAGGTACAGTGAAAAGTAAAAGCTGAGTGGAATAGATATCCACCCTACCTTGGGTAAGCTTCAATTGAGAAGTATGGATAACTTCCCTGTAAGGACAGAGTCTTTGTAAGCACCTTAGTGATTCAGGAGAGTACAGGAGCGTCCTTTCTAACATCTTAAAAACGTCACAGGAGGAAGGTCAAAGATGAATTGGTCTGAAAGATTCAATAGGCAAGAATTTCTTACACTACCATTGTATTACTATTTTTTTTTTTTTTTTTTTTTTTGGTTTTTCGAGACAGGGTTTCTCTGTGTATCCCTGGCTGTCCTGGAACTCACTCTGTAAAACAGGCTGGCCTTGAACTCAGAAATCTGCCAGCCTCTGCCTCCCAAGTGCTGGGATCAAAGGCGTGCGCCACCACTGCCTGGCGTATTACTATTTTCTTAAGTCACAATAATAATTAAAAGTAGTTACAGGTGCTATAGAGATGGCTCTGCAGTTAAGAGCACTTGCTGCTCTTACAGAGGATCCACGTTTGGCTCCTAGCACATGGTGACTCATAAACATCTGGACCTCTAGTTTCAAGGCATCTGATGCCCTTTCCTGGCCTCCACAGGTACAAGACACTCAACAGCCTGCACATAAATACATGCAGAATACTTGTACACGTAAAATAAATAAATCTTGGGTTTTTTTTAAAGAAAGAAAGAAAGGGGAGCTGGAGAGGTGGCTCAGTGGTTAAGAGCACTGACTGTTCTTCCAGAGGTCCTGAGTTCAATTCCCAGCAACCACATGGTGGCTCGCAACCATCTGTAATGGGATCTGATGCCCTCTTCTGGTGTGTCTGAAGATATCGACAGCATACTCATATAAAATAAATGAATAAATCTTTAAAAAAAAAAAAAAGAAAGGAAGGAAGGAAGGAAGGAAGGAAGGAAGGAAGGAAGGAAGAAAGAAAATAAATGTGAAAGCACCTATGACCACCTTTACAAGTTTAAGTTGGTTAAAATTCCAGAATGAACGAGGGTCCCAAAGGTCCATTGGCATAGGAGCTATCAGCTCTGGCTGTTGAGGAAGGGAGAATCACTCTGATGTGAGGAAATGGTTATTGGTGGCTTGCCCTTGCCCCAGTAGATGTCTCTATACCCATGTGTGTACAAATAGCACTAATTGGATCTAGGGGATAATTAATAATAACAACAGAAAAAAAGGAGGACATGAAGATGGGAGGGAGGGGGTATTGTGAGGAGCTGGAGGGACGTAATGGCAGATGTATATTGTGCTGGCTAAGGTTTTGTTGTTGTTGTTTGTTTGTATGTATGTTTATTTGTTTTTCACAAGTTGACACAAGCTATCTGAGAAGACGGAACTTCAATAAAGAAAATGCCTTTATAAGATAAGGTATAGGCAAGCATGTGGGACATTTCCTTGATTGATGGTTGATATGGAAAGACCTAGCTCACTGTGAGGAGTACCATTCCTGGGTAGGTGGCACTGGAGTGTATAGGAAACAAACTGAACAACCCAGGAGGGGCACAACAGTGAGCAACACTCCTCCGTGACCTCTGCTTGGCACCTGCCTCCAGGTTCCTGCCTTGAGTTCATGCCTGACTCCCTCAATAATTGAAAATGATCTGGGAATTACACACTGAATTACTTTCCCTTCCAAGTTTCTTTTGGTGGTGCTATATTATCACAGTAATAGAAATCCTAACTAAAACAAACATGACCAAAATATATTTTTAAATGTATACATTTTTAACGATTAAATAAAATTATCATTAATTTAGAAAAATAAACAGAACAGTGTAGACAATGAATAACTGATAGCCAGACACAGTCAGAAGATTAGCATTCCTTGGGAGCATAAAGGGACTTCTGACCACAAGGGGCCTGGGTAAAGAGTGCCAAGAGCCATGAATGCCAGTAACAAAAAGATAAGCTGCCTTCTGTAGGGGCACTGGAAGGATGTGTGATGATTTTTTCCATAGTGTGATCAACCTATGCTTAGCAGGCAATTGGGGTTGGAAAGGGTACCCCAGGAGAGGGGGAAGTCTATGGGAGGCTATGGTAACAGTCCAAGGTTGAGGTTATGGAAGCTGAACTGAGTGAAATGAAAAGGAAGCAGAGAGATCACTTCAAACATTGCTGAGGATGAACCAACAGAATTTGCCAACCCGTTCACTTTGTTGAGGATATGTTTGTATCATCCATGCAAGGGCATCCATTAACTTCTCCAGCAAAAGTCCCTTCTCGCCTAGCCTGTTATTACAGACAGGGCCTCCAGTCCAGTCATCTTCTTCTCAGTGTAATTATATGCAATAAAAACTTGATGTCATAGGGTTAGCCCAAAGCGTATGGGTTATTCCCCTCCACCAGCATGGCATCATAATTTTCTAGATTTGCTTATGATAGCCTGAAGCTTCCCATCTAGGAGATTCCATTAAACAACCTGAATCTTAACATTGTTCCCTGGATCCCAGAGCCTACAGATCAATGTGGGTTGTCCAGGGATTTTAGCTGATTCATATGGTATGTGTTCTTTCTATAGCTGTCTGTGTCTAAGGGTATAAATGTCTTCCCCAAAGAAAGACTGACTACTTTCCCTAGTGTAAGGTGTGTGTGTGTGTGTGTGTGTGTGTGCATATGTTCATGATCATGCTGCAGATCCTGTTGTTTTCTGGCAGTTTCCACAATGATTCACACTAGGAAACAGCTTCTCAGTGCTTCCGAGCCTCTTGCCAGTTACCAGATCTTTTGTGGATTAACACTGAACAAGTGATGTCAAAAAGGAGGCAACAAAGACAGGAAGAGGGAAGAAGAAAAGGAAAAGAATCAGGCCTAAGGGAGACCAGAATAAGGATAAATGGAGATAAAGGAAAAAAGGAAGGGGCACGGGGGTGGGGGTGAGGGTAGGGGTGGGGGCAAGCAGGAGCTGACTCTTGGCTGTGGTAGATAATCTGATCCTTACCTTTTCTATCTTGGGATCTTCCTTTGTCCACATAACACCGCTCCCCAACTGCGGGCTCCCTTAAGGGTCCAGAGGATGCTGAGTCCTGTATAGTCCTGTATAGGTCTCAAAACCTGCTTCTGTGTTTCCCTAGGCTGGGGCATGACATTCAGGAGCCCAGAACAGTTAGATTTTTCCATTGCTCTCCTTACTGGGAGAAAGGCTCACTGGAATTGCCAGAATACCTTTTCCCCTAGTTCTTTGACCTTGCACAAAGTAGGTGAATGTGTATTCCTGAAAAACAAACAAACAAACAAACAAACAAAAACATAACACCAACACCAACATGGTGTCTGTGGCAGAGTGTCTGTCTGCTACTCTATTCTCGAGAGACCCCACATACTCTCCAGTGAGTGTGTCAATCAGGTCTTCAGAGGAGAAGCTCTGAATTGCTTTGCGTGTTTATCGCAATGGTCTCTGAGCTATCTTTCCCATATGATGACTTACTAGGAAACAAAGATACGCCTAAAGGGATTTTAACTTAAAATTGTGTTTGGAAATCAATAGCTGCCATCTTCTGAGCCTTCTTCTTAGGTTTAACCAGCTGACTAGGGCTGAATAACAAGCAAGCAAATCATGCCAACCCTACTCCCTCTTCCTACAACCATTTAGTTTCTAATCAAACAGCCTGGACAAGAGTCAAATGCCTACAGCTGGCTGGAGGCCCTAAAGATGCCCCTAAAGATGCACTCCTTCATAGCAAACGAGATGAGACACATGGAGTCAAATGTGGGTCCTAAAACAATGAACTCAAAAGATTCAAATTTCCCTAGAAATCTCACTCTTGGGAAAAGAAAGGCTACATCCCTGGGGTCACCAGAAAAGGGACTTGTCTGATAGAAAGATGTCACATGGCTCCGACAGCCTATCAAATAACTAAGTTGGCATATCCATATTTCCTGGCTTTTATCTTATCTTTTCTACATAATTTTAACACTGCTGCAGGAAGAGGGGAGAAAAACTAGGAGCCCGTCTCTCCTTGATTTCATTAAACTGTAAATACATTTGTTTTCTTTAACCATTTTCTTGCTTCCTAGCTTTGTTTGAAGCACAAAGAAGCTGAGGTGATGGGTTTATAGACCTAAGTGCCTAGCGACAAAACACACTGAGAATCACTGGAAGCAATGGATGCCTGAATCCCAGTCTATAGTCAGAGCTTCTGCAGTTGCAGTGTTTTAAGGTACTCCTGCAGTCCGTGGTATATAGGTGTGTCTATGTGGACGGGGCAGCCGAAAAGCAACGTAAACTACCCCTGGCATGAGAGTATCTGATTCCTAGAGGGTCTTCAATGCTCACCAGTGGAGCCCAAAGATATTTTTTTGCACAACTGGATAGGTGGGGATACAGGCTTTCTGGAAAGAATTATGATATTCTAGAGAGACAATGGCACCCCTCCATTAGGCTATCAGACTGTTAAAACAATGAGCCTTAGGAAATTGGGATTTGCCCAGAAGTCTATGCTGGAAGGAGAAAAAGGTTAAAAAATACATAGTACCAGCCAGAGGGAGTCTGTTGCCTGGAAAGGGAGTTCACACAGTTTTGATCACCTCTCAGGCTCTCAGCAGGAGAGATCAGAACTGAGACCTGAGACCTTGATGAAGGCAGGTGATGAGGATTGCTTAGCTAAGCGTGAGCGTGTTTCCTGTTCTCTGTTTAAATGTGGCTCTCATGTCAGGACTTCAAAGATGGGCTTGCCAGGCTGTCACAGGATCACTGTCCCTCTTCCAAATGTGACACATTGAATAAATCTTTTACTACTTTTCGATATTAGCCATTTTCTTAATTGTTCTATTGAGGATGGTTGGCCAAACCTTACTTGCTTGAAGTGCCAGGGTCTGGCCTCTAACTCTAACAACTCTATATCAGGGACAGCACAAAGAAAGTCAGAAGGTTTCCTTAATTTAGGCTTTTAGGAGAGAGTGTTGTGAGTTGGGCCATACAGTGAGAGCTGGAAAGGGCAACCAGGGGGAGGGGTGGAAGTTCAAGTGCACTTTTGGGCCTGGGGAGATTTTTCATTTTCTCTACATGTAAATAATGCTTACATACCTTATTTCACCATGACTGGTTGGGTTTTGACTTCTCAATTTTCTGGAGCTTCTCGCATAGAAGAGCTTCCAAGTTTTAGACCTCATTCATTAGCAACAACGGAGAAGGGCTCACTGCTGCTGTCCCCTTAGAGTGTGCATAGCTTCCTGTAAATAAGCCTCAATTAACCACGGCTTCCAGTGACCTGAAGGAAGGCCTGGCCGATCTGAGTTCTGTTAATAAAGCCCTTGCTTGTGCTGGAAGTAATTAAATGGGCTGAAGGCAATTGTCAGAGCTCCAAGGGCCAAATCCTATCTCTTGTCAGGCCAAGAGTAATGGCTGAGCCTCTCTATTGGAACATAATGAAAGAGACAGGTGGGAAGGAGGCCTGTTGTCAGCAGCCCAGATAACTGCTCTACCTGGGGATTGTTATAAATGTATTTTGATGGCTCATTATGTCAAGAAGAGTGCTTCCTTATCTGTAGGAGTTCTCAGCAGAACAGAGGAAATGATCCCAGTGTGGCCTGTTATTTATCTAGATGTTGTTCCTTAATGGAGACATGGGGGCAGGGAGGAGTTATGTGAACCACGATGTTGAGTTTACAGTGTTCCTTATTAATCTTCTACTCTTGCCTTATCAGCCTCTGTAGGTAGGGAGATAAGGACCTCTGACAATGGATATCATACAGAAAGGGACCTCTCAAAATGGTCACTAAAAATGCATCCTTTACAGCAGCAATTCTCAACTTGTGGGTCCTAATCCTTTTGAGGCTTGAATGACCTTTTGACCCTTGGGAAAGGGTCACATATCACATACCTGCATATCAGATATTTACATTGTGATTCTTAACAGTAGCAAAATGACAGTTATGATGGAGCAATGAAAATAATTTTATGGTTGGGGATCATCACACCACGAGGAACTATATTAAGGGGTCATAGCATTAGGAAGGTTGAGAAGCACTGTATTACAGGATCAGACATGTTAATGTGGCATCTCACTCAAAATAGAAGATTATTTTTGCTTCAGGTTTGAGAGGAAATGGTATGTAATGAAGGAGCAATCCTCGTGATAAACAAGTCTGGGGAGCCTGGGTGGAGTAAGGCTGAAAAGGGGCGCTTGTTCCAGATGAGCTCAGAGGCTCTGATATGCTAGAATATGCCATAGGTCTGCAAACCTGCTGAGGCGTGACTATCAGACTTGCCTGACTACAGGTCTGTCTGAAGAGAGAACTGCTTGCAGAAGCAGTGTGCTAAGGAATACACTTCGAGAAATAGCATTTCTAAAGAAATTTATTACACACACACACACACACACACAAACTGGCCTAGCAGTGAGTCAGAAAGATGGCTCAGCAGATAAATGTGCTTGCTGCCAAGACTTCACATAATGAGAAGAGAACCACAGGCCAAAGGTTTAGCTTAGTGACAGAGCATTTGCCTAGCATGCAGAAGGCATCCCGGCTGATCTATACACACTGAACCCCAGCTTATCTGCAAGCAGTGTATCCCATCTGGTCAAGTTCTGTTCTGTTCCACAAGAGTAAAGGTTAACAATTCTGAAACTGTTACCTATATGTAGTGGAGAATCACATTCATGAAACAGAAGATGAATGGAGGAAGCCAGGCTCTGCACTGTTAGACAAGGTTATAGATACGAAAGGGGAAAGGAGAGAATGCATTACACATGAAGACATTGGTATGGATTACATCTAGCTTAAAATGGAAACAGATGGCCAGAATACAATAGAAATATGTACGTTTATATTAGACACACATACATATATTTATATGTATATATACTTTTATATATATACAGATTAGTATACATACCCATAATTCTTTGTTTATGCAGCTGAGAATTTATAAATACATGTGTGCATGTATTACATGTATATGTCTATATATATAGAATTAATATATGCCTAGTTTTGTTTACCAGCTAAGATTACTCACACACATGCAAACACACATATAGACACACAGACACATACACAGAGAGAGAGAGAGAGAGAGAGAGAGAGAGAGAGACAGAGAGACAGAGAGACAGAGAGAGACAGAGACAGAGACAGAGAGAGCTTATGTGTGTGTAATATAATTAATATATGTCTAGTTTTGGTTACCAGCTAAGATTACATACATGCAAATAGACACATGTATATATACAGAGAGAGGTTAATACACACATGTATAATTTTGTTTGTTAGCTATGAATATACACACATACACAGAGGTTGACATAAATACCTATAATCCTTTGCTTTTTTTCACCTGAGATTACCCAGAAACAATGACGCCATAATAGCAATGAACATGCCAAGTATTCAGATACAGGTTTATAAATCCATTCCCCATCAGGGTTCCTGGTACAGGGTTGTATTTCAGTTTCTTGAGAGGCAGAGACAGACAATAGCAAATTCAAGGCTGGTGTGGACTACAGAGTGAATTTAAAGCCAGCTGCAGTAACACAGCAATATCATGTCTCAAAATAAAATATATAAAAAGAACCGAGGTGCCTTGGGCTATAGCTCAGTGATAGAATACTTGCCTTGAAAATGTGAGACCCTGCCTTTAATCCTTAATGCAATAAAAACAAGTATTAAAAAGCCACTTCTAGTAAATAGAACCAAAACTTACAGGAAAAACAATTGATGTAAAGACTAGGGAATACTAAACGGACCTGGAGTATCTTGAAGTGATCAGGGTATGTTGTTTTTAATGTTTCGGTGTTATGTCCAGGGACTGCAGGGGGGAATGACACTAGCCATTAGCTGAGACAACATCAAGTCCTCCTCAGATGGCCTCTCTTCTTCCAGTTGTCTAGACTAAGTTTCTTTTCTTTTTATTTAAGGGATGAGTGGCCTCTCTTTGTATGCTGTCTGTCCTGAAACTTACTTGGTAGATCAGGCTGGCCTTGAATTCCTAGAGATTCCTACCTCTGCTGCCTGAGAGTTGAGGTTGAAGGAGTGCCCCGCCATACCTAGCTAGATGAAATGTCTAAGAACAGGAAAAATGAATTCCAAAACAGTCAAATTTGAACTCTTTCTGTCCCATTTTATTTGTCAATCAAGGTAAAGGTCAGCCCTCGTTCAAAGGGAGCAGAAATAGAGACGACAATACAGTCAAAGATGAGATGGGAAGCATTTATTTAGAGTCCTGAGTAACCCAGAGACTAGCACAGCTAGTTCACACCTCCTCACATCTCCAAGTTTGCAAAAGCTACAGAAATGACTTCAGAGGTTAGACACACAATGTGTCTCCTATTTGAGAGCCCTGGCCCTGGAGTGCCTCCACATGAGGGGTATGTTTGTGTGTGTGTGCATGTGCATGTATGTGTGTGTGGTCATTCCTCTCCTTCCATTGCAGGTTCCAGAAGTTGAACTCAGGCCATCCGTCAAGCTTACACACCAAATTTACCACTGAGTCATCACGTTGACTTATTTTCCTTGTCTTACAGAATGAAAAGCCAGCTCCCTATTATTTAGGATAATTCTATAGTGTCATATCTCGAAGTTTTGTTTTGCCCACAGAGAAAGCAGCACCAGGAGTGATGCTCAATATCATATTGCTATTTGACAAAATCACCCAAATACTCCACAGGTGTTAGGAGCGGTACCACCCCCAGCTCAGGTTGGCTCTTATAGACAGACTAGAGTTGCTCTTAAATATGTCCTGGATTCTGAGGAGAATAGAAATTACTAATATTGCAAAGAGAAGTTTGTTTTATAAGGGCTGGGGATTATCCTTATTTGTGGGTCTAGGGGAAAATATTTAGAAAGTAGTTGGGGATTATGCTGGTTTGGTAAAGTTTGTGGTTGTGGGTTCTCTGCTAATACTCATGACTTTACCAGCTCTAAGTAGTTGGCCAGGTTTTTAATACCAGACATGGTATGATACTTGTTAAGCATAGCTAAGGCCAATTAGAGAGATGTTGGTTACTTCCAGTGTATGTGTGCCACTACTGTACCCTTAGGGTTATCAAGCAATGCTGGTCGTTGTTGTGGTTCTTAGTCATCATAGCTCTGTAGGACTTCTGGTTGCTTTTCTCCTTTGGAAGCTTCCATGGCACCGTCTAGTACTATGAAAGCTGGTCCTCAGGGAGGAGACTTTCAGGTCAGTTCCAGCTCAGGAGCCTCTGGGCCCTACATCTGAACTACATGTTGTCTTCAACAATGAGGACTTACTTTCCATCCCTGACTGAGTGTGGAGGGACACTCAGAAAATCACAACCAAAATGTAGGGTTGTGAAACCCACTCCCAACAGGTATATCTATAAAACAATTTTTACACTTAAGTGGCTTGGGGAATCATTGCAGAAGAAGGGACAGAAAGAGTGTAAGAGCCAGATGACCAAGGAGTGTGTGATGATATTGTATCTCCTTTTAATGTCAGAAGCTACACCTATAAAGTCTCATCAGCATGACTGCTCAAATATGAGACATTAGGTAAAGTAAACAGAGGAAAGCCCCAAAACTACAAACAACTAAGAAATGGTGAAAAGTGGAGAAACAGTCTTCTTTAGGAAAGGGCACACCAATTGGTTATCCAAACTGAATGGCTGCCCTAAAAACAAACAAACATAAACAAAGCAACATTATATAGACTGAGAAGGTTGTATTTATGTATTTAGAATATTTATACATTATATATTTAGAAGTATATGTGTGTGTGTGTGTGTGTGTGTGTGTGTGTGTGTGTGTGTAAAAGCAATTATTGAAAAAAAGAGGCCACTGAAAGAGAAAAGTTAGGTATTTGAGAGGAGAAAAGAGAAGGGAAAGATGACATAATTATATTATGATTTCAAAATTTTAAAATGAATGATATTAGAAAGTTAAGAGTGTTGTTTATATGTGCTGATTTAGTTACTTTTCTTTTGCTGTGATAAACAACATGAGCGGAGAAATTTATAAAAGAAAGCAGTTGATTGGGTTTATAGTTCCAAGAGGATTAGAGTTGGTGATGGCAGAGCAACGGCAAGGCAGCAGGAACAGCTGAAAGCTCACGTCTCAATTTGCCAACAGGAGGTAGAGAGAAGACCAGGAATCTCTTGAAACCTCCACTACCCACCACCTCCACCCAGTGACACACCTCCTCCAACAAGGCCACACCTCCTAATCCTTCT